CCACTAAAACAATTTAACTTTTTTTCAGTGTTGTAATCAACGTCAAGTGATTCAGAGCTAAGCTAAGTTTACATACAGTCGATCCGAGCGGTTCGGATATTTTTCAAAGCCCAGAAATCTTCTTAAAAATGCCAGCTGGTATAAATTACAAAACTATAACGAAATGTCCGCGATTTATATTTAGAAAAGCATTTATAAGGCCACGTACATACCCTGCAGCACTTTTATCATCATCCGCCATTGCTTTCTCCGCTGAAAACTGTAAAGCGCAATCTGCAACTCGAAAGAAATAAAGTTTTTTTCCATCACGGTTCGATCAAATTACTTTCGGCACTGTTTTTATTCCCGAACCGACCCTTCAGATTGAAGAAATCCCTTAGGTAAGTAGAAATTAGAAAACAAATAAAACATACTCACGTTCTCGTCAAGACGGCGAATGGCAGCAAATGGCGTCCTGAACAACATGTGGACGACGACTCGTGCTCGATTGGGCATGCGTGGTAGCATCGAAGTTCGTTTTCCCAACTTCCGGTCGGTCACGTGCACGTTCTCGTCGTCACTACTAAAGGTCCCCAATAGTTTCCACCCGAACCGAGGCACATTACACCCACTCGAGACTAAGCAAGGGCTTCGCTACTTCTGAAACGCACGTTACCAGGATAAAACGAGGAATTATATTCATTAGGTATAATACCTTTGTTGCTGTCGGATGATAGAAGGTCACTGCAATTCATTTATAGATGAAATGCACTATTGATAGCGTCCATTTTTTTCTTCCTCAGCCATTGAAACGGCGAAATACAACATCCCCGATTACAGTTGAGGTTAGTTTTCTTTCTATTATTTAAAATTCGCATTAAGTAGTATTAATGTCGATGAAATGACTGTTTCTTTCAGGCCAAACGGAAAAAGAATGACGCAGAAGCAACGAAGGTACGAATTTCAAATCAATTTGTCATTTTACTTTAAGTTAATCGTTAGATACTGTCCAAATTGGTTAGCACAATGTCCAGCCAAAACTTTCCACGGTAAGTTGATTTTGGGTTTGGATTTTATGTAAGCGTATTTTTCAACTTTAACTCTCCTAAACATGTTGCTCACCAAGTGTGCTCGTTTTGTTTGTAATAACAGACTTTGGTCAAAAAGGAACATCAGGAACAAAGAGAACAGCAAATAAAGAGACGAGAGGAACAGAGGAAAGAGGAGCAACGGAAAAAAGAAGCAGCAGAAAAACGGTTAAAAGAAGGGAAAGAAGAACAAAAGAAAAAAGAACTGGAACACCAACGACAACTACAACTACAACGAAAGCGGGACGAAAAAGAACGACAGCGGAAACAAGATGAACTTGAGCAAGAAAACAAAGAAGAAGAAAAACAGGAACAAACACTAAATAAAGACGAGAAAGAACAGGAACAACTCGAGATGGAGCAACTCATGGAGTGGAGTAGCGAGGGAGAATATGATGCAACGATACGTAAGAACCGATTTTTTCCTCATAAATTCAAGTCTGGTGTAAGTAGACAGGAGTCTCATACGTACCCAGTCTCCTCATCGTTCAAAGAGTTCAAAGAGACTGCACATATGGTAGATAATGGGGAACTCCAGATATTGGAACAATATGAGGGAATTGCGTTGGACCAATAATGAACAACTGCGGGTGGTGGGCTAATATCGAGCATGAAATGTGAGATTGAAGTCTCTAGGACTGGACTTGGCCTCAGCGTTTTTCATGAGGAATGGTTTCTCGCGCAAAGTTGGAGTTGGGCACTAAGTTCTAATCATAAATTATCTGGATAAATGTGATTCGCCAGAGCAAAGTTAAAGAGCGTTTGAATTTAAAGGAATTAATGCAGCGAAGTAACAATTAGCGTGGTACTAGTAAAATACCTTGTAAACTTTGGTGAAAAACGTGGCTATAGTTTCTTTTCTTTCTCTTTAGTCGCAAAGGGAACTAAAGTAGAAGCGAGGGTTGATAACTCAAACTGGTAAGTTATCTTTCGGCAGGTGTGGAAATATTTACTCATGTAGGAAGATTACTTCTGTAAAATCGGGCGCCAATCTACCAGCCCTTGCTTTGTTAGGGTACTTCAGTTCTTGGCTTTCTTTGTTCAAGATGGGAGGCGAAAGGCGTGGAAGACGCAAGGGTACGCGTTTGCACTATTCCAGTAATCGTAGTAACTGGGAATCGTTAGTGCCTACCGTTGAGACCAACAACATAACGTTTGAATTGCACTTTATATTTATGGTCTGTGTCTCTAGCTGAGGGAGTTTGGCGTCTCTAATCTATTGAACTTTACCTTCTGGTGTAGGTACATTGGAACTGTGTTTGCTTCAAAACCGAAAAAAGGATTTGCTTGCCGAGTTCGCGTCAAATTTGATATGTACCCAAAGGACAAGTATGACAAGTGGTGAGTGGATAAGTTACTTGAAAAAAGTCGTTGTTCTTAGGTCGTGACAAGTGGAGTTCTCTTGACCAAAAGGACATCCTCGAAGTAACTCATACGTTTGTTAACGTACAACTGACCTCAGAAGGGTAAAAGCAGGTTTTACACCTAAAACTTTATCTCACCATGGTGATTACGGTAAAGGACCTTGCTTCAAATGACAATACAGTTTTGTCCAAGATGGTGGATGGTTTATTGTTCATTCATATCATTTGCTAGCAATATGATACAAGTAAATGATGACGTCTCTCTCTCTCTCTCTCTCTCTCTCTCTCTCTCTCTCTCTCTCTCTCTCCCCTTTTTATTGTCTGCAGGTTTGACCATCCTAGTGAAGACTTGAGAGTTCTAAAAGTAAGTTGATCATTATTAGGGGAACAACCACTAAATATGTCCCGCTGGAGGCCAAGTATCCTGGCAGTTTTAGTATAATCCGACACACTTCTTCCCCTTTAGTAAGACCATCCACCTCCTTGGTGAATCGTACTCGAGAGCCAAGTCACATCGCACTCCACAGCTTCCTTAATCCGATCTCCACCTTATTATGACCAACAAATCATTTTCAAGCTTCCCCCAAATGGTCATTTGCGTTATAGTTTTAACTCGTGGTTACACCTAAAGCTTTATCTCACCATGGTGATTACTATAATGTACCTTGCTTCAAATAATGATACAGTTTTGTCCAAGATGGTGGATGGTTTATTGTTCATTCATATCATTTGCCAGCAATATGAGACAAGTAAATGATGACCTTTAGATTTTTGTCGCGTTGACGCCCCAGTATAAGGTCGAACTGAGGTCTAGAGTTTCAGGTTGATTATGTCAAGTTAACATTCTTTGGCTGATAGTTTTTGCTCTTCTCGTCATGTATTTGCTGGACGTTCACCAATACTGCAAGGATTATGTGCATATCCATTGGAAGTTAAAGACGCATTTACGTAATAGCTAGCTGATCGGGTGTGTGAACATCATTCCTCTCTGTTTTTAGCCTGTGGAAGAATCGGCTCCCAAGTCTCCTAGCCCAAGCAGAGAAGTGTCGAGCTCAACAATTGAAACGCCAAGCAGTAGGCAGGAGCAGGATCCAAAACCACAGCAGCCGCCAGCTCGGCAAGTAAAGGAGCCCGTACAATCCCCAGAGGACAACCGTGTGTCGTCAATGTCGGATGACACTCCCACAGCAGACCAGGAGCATCCTGCATTAAAAGACGTCGTAGGCTTGTTCAGGTTTGATTGTCATTTTTTTTCGAAATTCGTGTTGAATTAGTTTGGCAGCGTCTGCTTTTCTTGTAGGTACGGCTCCCATTAATAGATGTCCTATTTTCTTATCGTATCCTTTAATACCTACTACCGTCTTGAATGCCTCAGTAGACGAACGGTGAAATCAGCACGAGCTAAGTCATCAACTTGTACCGCGCGTCTTCACAAGCAGTTACTTCACTTGACCATTGTGTGTTTCTAAAAATCCATTTAAACAACTCAAAAACACCTCAGAATGTCGTCAGTAATTTCCCATAACCTGTCTTAAAAAGAATACGTCGTTATTAAGGGAACTCTACTTTGTTTAGACGCTGTCTTTGCTACTTTGCTCCTCCGTCGTTTCAAATTTCAAAGGAGGACATCAAAGAGATGGGTACTGAAGAGCTGAGAGAATTTCCACTGGTATGAGGTTATCTTTTATAGGCTTATTTCAATATTTTTTTTGAACGGCTCCTGGTTCTTTCATCACTAGCAGTTATTGAAGCTGTTATTACGATTTTTTTTCCCAGGACAACTTTATTGATCATTACGAAAAAGGAATTTCGGAGGTAAATCAATTTCATTCCGGTCTATTCCCTCATTCAGTCCGTTCTTGTTAGTTTTTTGTCGTTTTTGTGTTCGTTTTGTGATTCCCTGAGTCAATTCATCAAGTAAATCATTAATTCTTTTTTATTATTGTGTTACTTTAGTTGATCGAAGGTTTTCGGAAAAAAGAGGAAGAAGCCGTCCAAAGAGCCACAAATGCCGAGCAGCGTTTCAGGGAAGCAAACATCGAAAGAGAAAGATCGACAACCAAACTGATAAACCTGAGAAAAAACGCAGGGAAACTGCTTCGCTTTATACAAGAGGTGCGTTGATACCGTTAATTTCTCTGAGAAATGAGTTTGTCAGCCGGCTTCCTCTGATGTTATGACAATGATGAGGATGTTTTCATTACTACTGTCGTTGTAGCAGTCGTCCCTTCAATTTTTTGCAGCCGACCACTTGCTTTTTACTGATGATATTTCTCTTGTGATGTTTGTGTTGTCTTTTTTTCCCCACTCACTCAAAAGTTTTGACGTTGGTTTTTGTCAGTACTGGTTTTGTTTGCAGTGCCGTCTCAGTTAACATCAAATCGCCGAAATAGAAGTGCGTTGTGTAGGATAATTCCGCGACTAATTCGCGAGTTATGAAGGCATGACTGGATTTTTTTCATTTTGGACTCTTCCTTATAGGAGTAAGGAAATTGGCCATGTTTACTTTTCTTGCTTTCGTTTCATGATCCCCTTGGGTTGGGTGATGATGGCAAACAAAGTGCGCGCATGTGATCCCCATTGATAAAGTAATTATACCAATCGTTGACCGCTTCTTTTGCCATGTTTCCACGTTAGGATCCCAATGACTGCGCACTGAGCGAGGATGATGTCTCAGACAAAGTGGATGAAATGATGGAGAACATAGCACAGCAGGCGGAGGACCGATAACAGCTGCGGTTTTTTTTTTCTTTTAGCTCGATTCGTGGAATCTTTACATGCCATTCGTGTTCTTTCAACTTCATCTTACATCATATTTACAAGCCTTGCGATGAATTAAGATCTGATGTGCTCAATTTTCTTCTATTTTTTGTACAAGTCAACACGCTTTGGACAATAACACACGTTCGGCTCACTTTTTACTTGAGCTATGTAATACTAGAACTGTATATCTGTTTTTCAGCATCACACATCAAAAACTGTTTTGTATTCCTTTAAAACTTGAAATGTATGCACGCGGTTTTCGTCCATATCCTAACTGACATTCTTAAAGTTTGTTTAGTTATGAATCAGTGTGTTACCCGAGTTACCAAAGAGTTATCACGTTGGGAATTTTTATGCCACGTGTGAAGGAACCAAGCTTGACATTTCGTGGGCCATCAGTTGAGTGCTACTTGCCATCCTACAAGGTGAAGGAGTTGTGCAAGTTGAAAGACTGAATATCAATAACTAAAACACAAAATAATGCTGTATTGCTAGGTGAAATATTTGCAGGCAAATAACTAATGACAACAATATCAGGAACAAACACCAGCTCACTATGGGACAGAATGTGTCAGTACACTTAGACGACTCCTTCGCTTGCAGGAGACTCGAAATTTTTATGTCTGTGGTTTTTTCTTGAAAGGAGGCAAGTCAACAGATTTGGCTCAGCAAGTTAATTGACGACATCCACTGTAAATCTCCATAACCTTGAAAACGACTTTAAAAATTGTAGTGTCAATTTTGGAATTGATTGGATCACAAATCATACCTGAAAAAAGTACTCGGACCACAATTCTTGACTTGGTTCCTTTAAACTGATCAAATATATGAAACAGTATGGTATGTAACCTAGAATACTATTTATTGAGTGTTAGCTTTGACAAAAGTTGATCATTGCTTACAACTTCGATACACATATGCCATGGCAAATAAATTTATATTTTAGTCGGTGGCGCCTCTTTTTTAATCTTTCCTGAAAGCTCGATATTTCTCTAGATGGAACGTCGTTGATGTACGTAATACGTAAAACATTTCCTGGATATTTTGGAAACGACTTAGCTGAGATTAACAAGTGATGTTCGTCTGTACAGTGCTGTTATTAACTCCGAAGGTGAAGTGGGATATTAACGGGGGAGAAGAGTGAATTATTGCACGCTATTGGAGAAAGAAAGAAGAACAGGTGTGTTGCAGAGGAAGAGTTGTCCAAACTTTTTCCTTTCCCGAAGAAAACAAAAAGCAGCACTGCGGAAGCTTTTTAAAGAACCTTCGCATGATATCAAGAAAGGATCACTTCACCTGGGGAGTGTCGAAAAAGAACAACAAAAACAAGGTCCGTTGGAGATCCATGCTTGACACCTTATGCTCTCCTATGAAGCGGTTTTTATATAAAAATTAACTTGCCAATTTTCGTCTTTCTTTGTTCACAGCTTTGAACGAACAACGTCAACATTGTGCAAACACCGTCTACTTTGTTCAAAGAACATCGACTCTTGTACAAACAACGTTAATTTTGTGCAAACAATGTTCACACTTTGTGCAAACAACGTTCACTTTGTGCAAAGAAAGTCCACACTTGCACGAATAGCGCCGATTTTCCCACGAAGATACGAGAAATTATCGATTGACCAGGGTTGTGCCTAAATCTTACTGGCTAGAGGTACGCCCGAGGACCACTAGTGACGAGTTTCCGAGTCGGGCGATTATCAGCAGAGAGGCATTTTGTCTGCGCATGCGCGAGTGGAATTGGTTTGTCGCTTTCGGTGCCATTTGTAAAGTTTGCGTTTCTGCGAGATTTCAACTGGACGATCGACACCTTTTTGTAATATTTTTTAAGATGGATGAAGGAGTGTGACAAGTTCACCAACATTTCTAACTCTGTGGATACTCCTGGTGTTTGCTGGCTCTTCGGTTGAGGATATTTTTAATGATCAAAGTGCGAACAAAACGCGAAAAAAGCCCGAAGACTTGAAGTTTGAGATTTGATTTACTGAAGATCAAAATGTGCACACGAGACAACAAACCTTGAAGGTTAGTCTTAAGATGTTGATGTTTTATTTTTGGGAATCACAAAGTTGTATGTGGAGACAATCGTGAGATATTTGATCTGAGGAAAGATGGAAATTTAGATTTTGATCTTATTTTACTTCAACTTCGAAGTAAAATTGCGTTAAGTTTGAGGTGGCCCCCAAACATCAAATCACTTTAAATATCATCGTCTTTTCGTTCTCTTTACAGTCATATAGGACACAAGGCTTTAAAAAATGTTCCAGCTTCAGGATTAAGTTGCCCTTACTACAACCGTCGGCGAATTACTTTTCGGGAGGTTTTGGTGGATTTTCCAAGTCATGACCCAAAGCCGTCTTTGGCCTTTTTGCTCTCCAAGTCTGTTGCATATGGCAGGTAGGCATGTGTCTTAACAACAGTTATGGTGTAACCTCAATCAACTACGGTTTTGGCTTATTTTTTTACTGTGTTTTTGTGGTAATTTTTATCATTGCCTTTTCGAGCTTTGTGTGCTAACTACAGGATAAACTTCGGTAAAACTTATTTATCAATTGGCACCCAAATCCCTCACTATTGTCAGTTAATTGTTTATCTATCTAGCTTTTGGTCTAACTAGTCAATTTACCTTAAAAAAAATGCGTGGGCTTTGTCTCATGAGTAAAACTGGTGCCGTTTTCTTCATGTTCATCTGTTATTCGAAACGAATGGCGTCATCTGTATTCTGTCCTGTTCATTTCAGTAGAATGCTTTGCCTTGCGAAATAAATTTTGCGTGCACTATAAATTTCAAACCAGTGTAGTTATATTTCACTTTGCTGTATGTGTCATGATCTTGAAGTTCTTATTTCTTGAGATTGATGATGGGAATTAACTGTTACGTTCTATTCTGTTTAAGGTAATGTGAAGTGAACCAGTAATTGGTGCTATAGACAGAATGAATAGCTGTGACATTTACTGTGGCTAGCTGTTATTCAAGAGTTTGTCATTATTCCCAGAAGCTTACTTCTTGTTTAAGTTATCAGTCTTTTGTTCTCTGTACACAACTTGTCTAGACTAATATGCTATATGGGAGTTATGTCTCTTCTATTTGTAACGGTAAAATTACCAATGAAGTTTTTCAGAAGTTTTGTCCAGATTTCATTGAAAATGAACATGAGGAGTGATCAGTTATACTCCTTAAGAGTATTTAAGCTTCCAGGATGAGAGCTAATAAATTTCTTGAGTGATCCATACATGATTTGTCTTCTGTAAAATTGACGCAGCCAAACCCCCTGGCAATTGTCTATAAATTTCTTTAAATAGCATTCAGGTTGGTGCCTATTACCACTTAATGTGCAGTATCAAAGTCTCCTTTTAACTTCAGTCTTATTTCTCTAAACTCTAATGGGAGTAAATCATCCATTTTCATAAAGAGGTCAACAAAACTTTCCTCATTATTTTAATCTAACTTCATTCAGTCCTGTTCCCAGGGGATACAAGCCTTGGAAAATAATTTGGTTTTTGTCCTCACTGATACTATCAGCTGTACAGGTTCTCATCAAATTGTTGGATAACTCTTGTAATTTAATAGGTCAAAAAGTAAGGTTGCAATGGGTGTATCTGATGTTTTTGGGTAGTAAGAAGGATAGATAAAGTCAAATATAATTTTTATTGGGAAAATAATTGATTCACTATTATTTTTACAACTGGAAGCTCAAGATGTTATTTGATTTTATTCACATTTAGGCAACAGGCTGGTCTTTCTTTTTTTGTACACGTCTCCAGTTATGGTGCAATTCTCATCTGTTGAGGGTTAGAGGTAGTTTGACCAAAATAAAGTGATCAGATTTTGGTAAAATTTTTCACCTCATAAACTACATGTGATATTTTCGAGACTGATGATTGAAAAAAACTTTCTTTTCTCTGATAAAAATCCATAATTATGCTACCATTTCCCCCAAGTTATGACAACATAGTTAATGAAGGGGGACAGGTATGATGACAACCATATATCTAGTGCTAACATATCTTACTTTTCTTAAAGCGACAATGACATTTTGTGTTTCAGTAATCGTTCCCGCCGGCTGTGATTCGTGAAAAAAACTTTTCAACCAAAACCTAAACTTCTGTGAACTCATACTTTTTGCTGAAATATTGCAAATACATTGCACTGGAAGTTGAAACTCAAAAACACTCAAAGGAAAGTAAGTACTACAAATGTACATACATACATACATACATACATACACTTTATTGATGCTCCCTAAGTGGGCTTTTCAGCTCAATAGAATAAAAAAAAAAAATACAAATATATAAATTAATTGAGAATGTAAATACAATAATATAATTACAAAATATATATCAATAATATAATATATTAACTTAATAAAACATTTGCAAGATGACGTCTAAAATTCCTGGGGCATTTTAAGGACTTAATGTTATCATTCAAGGAGTTCCAGAGTTTGGCTCCTCTGAAAGCAAAGGAGCGCTGCCCTGTTGACAGGCGACATAAAGGTATATCCAAAGCACCAGATGATCGAGTTTGTCTATTATGGACTTGAGAACGTGATTTAAACATATCAGCAAGATAGTCTGGAACAAGCTTGTTAATACATTTGTGCATCATAGTAGCGTCATTTAGAATGAGTTTCTCTCTAATAGGAAGCCATTTCAACGATCGCAACCCATCCGAAATATGGTCATACTTTCTTAGTCCCAGAATAATTCGCCCAGCAAAGTTTTGGACTTTTTGTAACTTGTCAATATTGCTGCTGCTGGTATTACTCCAGACAGTTGAACAATATTGGAGTTTACTAAAGACAAATGAATTTATTACTAACAGAAGTGTTTTCCTATCCAGGAGGTGCTTGATTCTGTTAATTTGGTACAATTTAAAAAGGCATTCTATTTGTTGAGAAAGCACTAACACGATTAATTTACTTTCTAATACGTCTGTGCTCTTCGACAAGCCTCCTGTATCATTCACAAAAAAGATCATCTACTTCGATCGTACCAAAAATTATTAAAGAGGTCTTGAATTGAACTCGATTGTTTACCCTTTTGCTTTTGGAAAATCAATCGATTGTGACTTCCTTTCTAACACCACACAACCATACTAAGACTAGGACACCTCCATCTAAGTTACAGAGGGTAAAAAGGACAAGTAAAGTTGTCTTAAGAGCTTGTTCCACTATCGTTTTCCGACGCATTTTCCTCATTCACTTATTTCGCGGAAACCCTAACCGGCACGTAGCAGCGGTTATTTGCATCAAACAAAAATTTGCAGAACATGCGCAGAAAAATTGCCTCTCTGCTGCGATTATCAGAAATTGTCGGCTATTCCAATATGACAGACTATTCCAGAAACACCAGTTGCGATTTAACAATAGTCAAGCGACGTGACTGAACCAGATTTGAACATTATTATATGCTCTACATGTGAATTTTCTTCTTGCACATACCCATAATGCCTTGCGCCTTGGGGGGTAACCAGGATGAAAAACATGGCGTCTTGTGCTTCGAAAAGTAAGCCTTGCCTGAAATATCCAAAAGCCTACAAAGAAGTCTCTGGTTCAACAAAACCAAAACTAAAAGAGCTCTGTAGAGCTTTAACAATTGATTTTGAAAAGTTAATTGGAAAAAAAACACTCGTAAATGTCGTTTGCAATGCTTTGAACATATCGACTTCTGGCTCTGTCAAGAGTAAACATGACGCAGTGACTACGAAAAAAAACTGATATTCCATCGCTTGCATGCCTACAAAAGCTGAAAGACTGGTAGAAAAGCTTAAAAGGAGTCCCTCTGATGATGAAGGAGTGGATTGTAAAAGAATTCTTGATAGGATCTGGCTACAAACAACAAGCTGTTCGAAAATATAAGACGCTTCACTCGTGGGAACACAAGCAAGGAATTCACTCTGTAAAGTAAGTCAATCCTTCTTCATTTTAATATTTCATTTCTTTAAATTTATATTCTTTCGTATTATTTCAGAGTCCATTTATTGCCAGAATATCAGAAATATTGGGCCCTTAGGGCGAGTTGTAACCCGTCGTTTTCGACAGACAGTGAAGAGAGCAAGTTGATGTACTTGGTCCTAGAACGGTCAACTGGCAAGTCAGTTTTCTCGCACTGTACTTGTACAGTTGGGTAAGTTAACGATTTTGTATTACTATCCTCTGAATTCAATACATAGCTCACGAATTTTGTATTTTTTATTCTTAGATTAAGAGGAGACTGCAGTCATATTGGAGCTCTCATGTTCATGTTGTGTGATGTTGTGGCAGAGGGACAGCAACAGCTTCCTCCTGATCCTACATGCACTGATTTACCTTGTTCTTGGTTTAACCCTTAAGGTAAACATATTTATTATATGATGGTAAAGTATTACAGCAGACGATACCTTACATGTATGTTTGTTATCTCTTTTAAGAGCCAAGGCTGAGCAAATCCTCATAGAGGATATCAATTTTTACAAAGCTAATTTTGGCAAAGAGCCTCCACAGAAAAAGCTTAAACTCTGCCCTTTTATAACAGAAGTTTACTATGGTGTAGATGAAAGTCAAAGGAAATTGATTGATGAGAGAAAATTGGAATTAAAGCAAAACATTTTCCTTGCAAATGAAGGAAAAGCACTACCGCCTATTTTCCATATACTTGGATCAAAGAGGGAGGAAAGTATCAGTACTCCAATCCCTACAAATCTGCCAGACATATTACAGGGAGATGATGTTCGCCTGATATACTGGTCCGAAGTAGAAATTGAAACAGAATCTACTGAAACTGACAGCACAGATGATTTCCTGAGCCCTCTTGATGTTCATCCTGCATCTTTGCAAGATATATACGACAAAACACAATCAATACAGGAGCATATTACTGTAGATGATACCAAGATAGAGCAAATAGAACAGTTGACACGAGATC